TCGCACTAACATTGGTCCCATTTTGACGGTTTTCGCACTAACATTGGTCCGAATTTTGACGGAAATCGCAACAACATTTATATATATGTATATATATATATATATATATACATATATATATATATATGATAGAGAGGGTTTAGGGTTGAGGGTTTAGGGGTGTAGGCGTTTAGGGTTTAGGGGAGTAGGTGTTTAGAGTTTAACTGTAGAGTCCTAAACGTTAGAAACGTCTAGCGGTCTGGCACTTAAGAAGTTCGGTCCTTCGGGCACCATAGGAGGTTGGAGTGGGTCTTCTTATCTCCCTAAACCCTAAACCCTAAAACCTAAACCCTAAACCCTAAACATAGGAGGTTGGAGTGGGTCTTCTTATCCTCGTCTTATCCTGACTGGTGGTACTTGTGGCACCTGGTCGTGACACAAATGCTAAACTCCTACAGCTCGTTCTCGCACCTGCAGTGCCACAACAGCACGTCCTACAGCTGTAGGCTTTGAGAATCTTGGCCCATGCCGACATCTAAACTCCCTACAGGCAACTGATGCAAGATGCCGAACCCATCGGAGCTTAGACTAATATAGGGGCGTTTATAACGAGAATACGGTTTTGGGGCACACTATCATACAGCTGAAATATAATAGTGTATCATAATGCGGCATACTATTACCAATCATGCCGACCACTAGATTACGCCGAGCTTCTTCCATGAAAACCCGCTTGCATGGTCTAGTAGATCAAAAGCGCATTTCGACTTTAGAACGAATGCGTGATGTTCTTCGAAGCGACAAAAAATGTAGCTTCAATATGGTTCTGATACAAGAATCATCAATTTTGCACAAAGCCCTTCTCTGAGTGACACATGGTCCGCTGATGATATTACTCTCATACCCGAGCTCACACGTCCCTAAACCCTACAGGTCCCTCAACCCTACAGGTCCCAAAACCCTGCAGGTCCCTAAACTCTACAGGTCCCTAAACCCTACAGGTCCCTAACCCCTACAGCTCCCTAAACCCTTAACCCAGCAGGTCCCTCAACCCTTGAGGCGGTCCTCCTGAGTGGTGACAGACACCTGCTGATCCTGCTCAGTCTGCTTAGCACGCGGCTCGCAGAACCTCGGGCCAGCCAAGGCTCTTTAAGAAATGTCTTTGATACAGTATGGTATACTAATTGTATACTCTAGTATATCATGCTAAAGCATGATATACTAATGATTACAAAGATGATAGAATGGGGTTCGTTTGAGGGTAGCGACTCACCCGGTTTAGGCCGTTAAAATGTCTTCCAGACTGGAGGGGTATTGGGCTCTCTGCGGGCTGTTTGGGCTTTGAGGTTGGGAAGTTGCGAATCCCTATAAACCCTAAACCCTAAACCCCTGAATCCTGGTGGCATTGTGCTGGCTGGAGGCAGGCCCAGCTTCGGACCTGTGAACGTCATCGCCATCCTCACCATGATGTTCATCATCATCTTCTATTTCTTCATCACCATCACCATCATCGAAATCATCACAATCATGACCGTCATCGTGATGGCCATCATGACCATCATGATCATCATGGCCACCATGGTCATGATCCTGATCATGTTCATCATCATCACCATCGTGGTCCAATGTTGGTCATGACCATGATCGTCATCATCATCATCATCACCATCATCATCATCGTAATCATTATCATCATCACCGTGGTCATCAAGCAAACCGGTGCCCTCCCGTTGACCCATGTTAGGCCGTTGTGCCAGAAGAGTGCTGTGCCCAACAACTCATCTCAGTTCAACGGGCTCCCTAAAATCTAGAATTTAGGGTTTAGGGGTTTAGGGTTTAGGGCCCTTTAAACCAGCATTCCTTCAGCTCGGAGGCATAAACGCCATTGGCACCGGCTGCCCATTGGATTGAATCGGACTATGACCAAAGCTCTTGAACATGAAGTTCTGAGCCTTTGGACGGTGAGGATTGCAGGGTTTGGTGGTGGGGTGTCGGGGGGTGTCGGGGCTTTATGTCCCAAGCTCAAAATCCTTCAACACTATAGGGGTTCAGCACTCACAGCTAGGCGAAGCGACCGGGTGTCGTGGGCACTCCACTTGCAGGGTTTGGTTGGAGTTTAGGGTTTAGAGAGGGTTTCGACTCTCACACCCGCACAAGGCCGGCAAGGCCGTAGAGAGGGTTTAGGGTTCAGGGGCTCGGAGCGGGTTAAGGGTTTGGGGTTCTGGGCTAAGGGGCTCGGAGCCTGCATGAGGGTGAAGTTCCGAACCTACCCTGACACGATGACTGAAGAAGTGTAACAGTGAAGCGCACCCGTGACTAGCCTATCTCAACAGGTCTACATGATGCTTCAAAATGCATAATGCAGGGGCTTACAGCTTCATGAACCCTAAACTTTTTTTCAGCATGGGCTTGGATTGTGTGCCAGCGAAAAAAACCCTAAACCACAAAGAAGAACCGACCCTGTTGACTGCCTGAGCCGTCTTGCGACGACGATTGCCCGTGCGGACTTCAAGCAGTTGGGGGAAGCAGTCGCTGATGCACCGTATGGCATCCTCCTCGTGTGCCTTCCTTTCCTTAGGCTTGAGAGTGGCTTAGGGGTTTTAGGGCCATCCGTATTGATTCTAGGGTTCTGGGTCTGTTGAACTCATATGGTCTGAGGTTTCATGTCTTTCGGAAGGGTTTATGGAGATCTGGGTTTGAGACTTCTGTGCCTTCCTATCCTTGAAATTCCTAGGGTCATAGGGTTTATAGGATTTTTGCTCTTATGCTATGTGGCTTCCTTGCCTTGGCAATTTGTTTGCCTCTGGCTTCTAGGGCTATTTGCCGTCCTTTCCTTTGGCTTTCTATAGGTTGGGGCAGGCCAGAAAGCCAGCAGCATTAATTGCTGAGCACACCCTATGTTCTCAGCCTGTCAATATGAAGACTTCAAGTTTTTCGCTTGGTTAGGGGGGGTTTACAACAATCTCATTTTAAGGTTTTGGGTTCCATGGTTCAGGGATACAGGGTTGAAGCATAGAAAGTAGCAGCAAAGGCGTCCGCAAACCTCCCAGAGCCCCACCATTGTCAACCTTTTTGTGACGGTACGACTATTTAGGGCTCAGAAATGTCAAGGATTGCCTACCCAGCCAATACCAAGTTTCCGGTGCCGTGTTGTAGAGCAGGTTGATCCCCCCCGCTGCCTTGAACTCAGTCCGGGCGCTGTACCTCTGAGCCCCTTTGGCCCCCAATATGTACTTAAGTCCAGACTCTAGAGTTTAGGGTTCTAGTCTAAGGAAAACCAATATGTACTTAAGTCTAGAGTTTAGGGTTTAGGGTTATAGTCTAAGGAAAACGAACATGAAAATGGCTCCCAAGGAACACCCGGGTGCATGGAATATCTCAGCACTATGCCATCTGCATTGAAGAAACGACAGGAGCGCTCAACATCCTCCGTGGGCGAGCCATATACAGATCGGAACTCGTTGCTATGTCGGTTGAGATATCCATAGGCAAAGCCGTTGACCATGCCATTTCTCCTTGATATATGCGTTCGCCGCATATTCATTGGGTTCGCGCTCGGGGAGAAGCCCCAAATGTATGCGCCTTGCTCATGCATCAGATCTCTCGCATGGTGGATCACACATTCCAGTGCTCCTGGCGGTAGCGGCTGAAGTGTATCTTGGGTGGTGCCCTCCCTCATTTTGCAGAACAGCTCCGGCACATCATCGTCGAAAGACACGATGTGAGTACCTTCAGGATGATGCTTGCTGATGTAATCCCGCTGCTCTTGAGTTCCTGAGTTCTCTCATAGGATGGATGGATGGATGGATGGATGGATGGATGGATGGATGGATGGATGGATGGATGGATGGATGGATGGATGGATGGATGGATGGGGCGGCCTACAGGGCACTGTGGCCAAAGGGAGCCTTCCCTGCCGCCTTCNNCTTCTCCGGGAACCTCCGTAAACGTCTCTCATAAAGAGCAATGGTTTTCTTAAGAATTGCGGTTTAGGATTTCGGCTTAAGAACAGTTACCGCAGTGGTGAAGGCATGATACTCACCAATTATAGCACTTGAACTTACCTGAAGAACCCGCGAAACCCTTCTGAGAACCCTAAGCCCTAACCCGCTATCAACCCGAAAAAACGGTGAACACCCAACTGCGCCTTCCAGAACCCCAAGCCCTAAAGCACCAGTAGAACCCTTGTAGAAGCCCCATAGAATGCCTATTTGATTAAGCCAAATCACCCCCAGGCTCCAAGCACACCCAACTTCACCTTCGAAAAATCCGGAAAGCCTTTCAACCCTAGCCTACCTTTTTGGTGGTTCTTTGTTATGGCTTCAGTATACATACCAGTAGCTCCCATACCCTCAAGCGAGGCTCCGAGAACGCCCAACTTCACCTTCACAAAAGGCCAGCCCTTCAGCGCGTACTTGTATCGGCTCTCCTCCAGCTCCTGGACGAAGCCCTAAAGCCTAAACCCTGAA